ACTATTAAATCAAAAATAAATTATTTCGTCATTAAACCTAAATTAAATTATAATAAAAAATTGAATTAAAGAAATTAAACAAAAAATGAGTAACTTTTATAATTTTTTTAGTTTTTATTATATCTTCAAATTTATATTTTATTAGGAAAAACATTATTTCTTTCTCAAAACCACATAAATTCGTATTATAACGTCGACAAAGACCAAAAAAATAAAATCAAACATTGAAATCAAGATATATATCGTCGTATTGCGCAAGTACATTTCTAGTGATATTTTTATAGAGAGAGGTTCAAACGAGAACGATAACTAAATAAAAAAACTTTAAAATAGTCAAATCACATACAAAATCAAATGTAATTTTAAACTAACGATCAATATAAAGGTATACGGACGACGTGACTTATAGGCTACGACCTCTGGTCACGGCCAAAGTTACATGAATTACATATTATTTTACACATGATTTAAATATGAATCACATGTAATTTAACCGTTATATACATGCTATTAACGTATTCTGTTATATAGATGCTATTTTCGTGTCAACCCGAGTTAATGGGTCGAGGAGACGCTCATGATCCAGAAACCCGGAGTATGGATCCGGATAAAAAAAGTAGCCGCCTTATGGATTTAAATAAATTTAAACTTACACTTGCAGGACACGTAACCCTGTTGGGCCCACCTCCATTAACCCTAGGTCGGTGCTTCTGCTGACGTGTCTTCTCCTTTTATACGAAGTTTAGCGTTACTTGATTCCCTCCGCCAATCCAACACCACTACACCACCAAAAAAAATCTTCCATGGCCAAATCTAAACAAGAACATTCCAGATTCACGGAGCCGGAGATGGAGGCGGCGTTGCAGCTTATTCAACTCAGCGGTGAATCCGACGTCGATGTTCACGATCACGGATTCAGTCATTCCTCCGGCGAGGTTTTAGCAACAACGATGGAGAGAAGGAGAAAAAAAGTCGTCGGAGATGATGATGAAAGCCAAGGGAGTAGTACCTCTGATATAACCTCCGCGCCGAGGAGATTTGAGGCGGAAGACGACGATGAGGATGTAGGTGGAAGCAGGCGGCGAAAGAGGAGGAAGTTTCGATCGGTTTCCGAGATCTACAAGATAACCAGTACGTAATGGTTTCGATTATGTTGCTAACACTTGTAAATTATCGTCGATTAATCGAGATGAACAGTACGTGTATAGGTAGAGAGATGTTAACTTGAAGGAATCCATGTGTATATATTCTATTTTTTGGTGATCCGATCCGATCCTATCGGTTGTTGAAGTTTTCAAATATGTTAGCGTCCAAAAAAAGCTAACAGATTTGCTTACATGAACTGACATCAACTTTTCAAATATGTTATCAATAACGCACGAAGGTTTGAAACAACTTACAATTTTAAATTGTTATTGGTGTCGTTTACCTATAAAACACCTACCTTAAGCGTTTAACGGTATAATTCAACTCCATCGCTTACTTACCAGGTAAGATTTTAGTTTACCAAAACGACATTATATATAACAATTTATCTGGTGGTAAGAGTCTACTTATCACGTAATTAAGACTCTTCGTTCTTACCATGTAAGAGAATATTACTTGATAAATGCTTATCGAAAGCATTTGGTAAATGACTGATAACAATCTATTTGTAATTAATTTATATTACTTTTTCTATAAATATTACATTCAATTTGATATACAATCTATTTGGATGTCCCTTTTTGATCACCCGCTAGCCGTTAGGTAGTGACCAAAATTTTGAGGATTAGTAGTTGGTCGAGATTGTAGAGGCGGATATCGTGTTTGACTCGTTCAACCCGTCTCTCGACCCCTTGAAATTGACGTCCTCGCACACCACAGATTTTGTCGTCCATCATTTGTTGCTAGGTCACCTAGTCCCTATTGAATTTATTGTTCCATTTGCAAGTATTTCTTAGGTTTTAAGTATTAGTGTAAAGTAAAAATGATGGAAGCTTCAGGTCACTTTTAAATAATGTAAGTGCTTACCTCATTTGCAAGGGACTCGGGGAAGTAGTTTATAAAAACTTGTTTGAGATTCGTATCATCGACACCATTAAGGCGATACTTTTTATTTTTACCACATTCTCAGAAAAGCAAGAGTAAAGCCTAAATACATTTTGTGTGTGTGTATATATATACTATACATATATGTAAGTAGCGGTACGGTCGGTTAAACCACCTATATACAATTCTCAAACCATTGGCCAGGTCTTGCTAGCTACCCTACCAAACTGCCGTAAATGGTCCGGTTTGGTTTGGCCCAACCAGTTTCATGGCCTATCGATTTTTCGAACTCCTTTAGTCTTCCATTTTTTGTTTTATAGTGAATTTTGTGTCGACCAAAAATAGAATACCGAGGGGTTGAAATAAAAGTTTGAGAGCTGATAAGCAAAACCGAAACACTGACCATGATGGAGTTGTGTCCAAGCACACTCTGGGTAAGTGCTTACCAAGTCACTTTACCTTAACATATGAATATGACAAAGACTAAAAATCTTATCCGGTAAGAACGAAACAAAGAACAAGAGTTTTACCCGGTAAGTGAAGGCGACGACGACTCTTATCATGGTAAGAGCTTACTAGGTAAATTATTGCATGCAATGCTGTTTTCGTGAAATAAAATCTTACCCGATAAGTAAGTAATAGTGTTGAATTTTACCAGTAAGCATTTACCGGATTTGTTTTTGAATTTTATCTCTTAATTACCACTTATACGTACGTTATCAGATAAAAAGTTACAGTTATCACATTGTTTATTTCTCTGTAATAAGATATTAAAAACCGTTAGGGGCTGTTTGGTAGGCTCTTAATGGTTACATTAAGAGCCAATCGCTGAATCGGTAAGAGGTTGCAAGTGTTTGGCAAAAAAAAAACCACCTCTTAATGGTTACAAACACCTCTTAACCATTTTGCATATGGTACCTCATTCAACCATTCAGATCCTTCTTTTTCCAATTTTACCCCCTTCCTCGTCGCTCACAGCTCCTCCCCCACCCTCTCCTTCCTCTCGTCGCCGGTTACCCTTCCCCCCATCTCCATCGCCGGCGACCTTCCACAGCTTCCATCGTCGGCGACCGTCCACAGCTTCCGTCGCCTTCACTGAGTTCACGTCGCCTTCCCAGCTTCCACCATCTCCGTCCCCGTCTTCGGTTGTCGCTCGACCGATGATAGCCTGTGAGACTCCACAGCTTCCATCGCCGGCGACCTTCCACAGCTTCGATTAGGTTTTCGCCATCGCCCCTCGCCATCGCCGGTCACCTGTGGCCTTCACGAACTCGTCGCCCAGCGTTCGGGAGCCCCAAATTGGACCCAACGTACACACCCAGTTGAATCCAACCAGATTTTGGTTAGGGTTTTGGTTTTTWTTGTTTATGATTAATGAAGCAGATTGGCAATCRATGAAGCAGATTTTGGTTAGGGTTTTCGTTCTTGATTCTTGAATCGATGAAGCAGATTGGTTAGGGTTTTCGTTCTTGATTCTTGAATCGATRAAGCAGATTGGTTAATCGGCCCTAACACATTATCCAACTTCAACTTCAAAGAAAATGTGAATGAGGGTTAAAATGGTAATTTACTGTCATTCAGATAACAATTACCAAACATTATTATTTCATTCAGTACTTAACCATTCTGGCCCTCTTAACCATTCTGACCACTTAACCATTCTGCACCAAACCATTCAGTAACTGCCAAACAGCCCCTTAATCTTCCAAATATCGAACATTGTCTTCCTCTTATGACTTTCATCTTTCTTCAATTTTTTATTCCTTTTCCATAGACAATTAATTTTCAGTAATATTTTTCTTATCATAAATAGTATTATAAAAAACAACACACTCATTTGAGGCGTTAATTTACCTACTATTTTGAGAGTAAGGGCCGTTTATCCAAATGTTTACCCGGTAAGCGCTTACTAATATGATTCAACACTATAATTTATTTAGATGCGTAAGATTTTAGTATATCAAAGCATATCGAAAGCAACAATTTAATAGGTAAGCGCTTATTTGGGTAAGAGTCGTCATCCTCACTTACCGGGTAAGACTCTCCGTCATTCTCATCGTTCTTACCCGGTAAGATTTTTGGCCCTTCTCATGTTCATCCGATGCGGAAATTTATACGTTAAGCACTTATCAAGTAAGTGTTTAGTAAACGACCCCTAAAATAAACAATTACGCTCATTCAGACATTTTTCAATTTATAAAGTCTTTTTGATTCCGTTTGGAGACATTAACACCATCTCTTATCAATAAGAATTGAAATAACTCTTCACATTTCGACATCACAAACACCACTTAATTTACCAAGCACACCCAATCGAAAAACATATTGTTTCTCGACAAAATGATTTTCTTCGGTTCATGTTGAAACTTCAAATTTGGTGACAAATATTCGGAAATTTTCCAAATATTTATGTTATATTTGCCATTACTCAACCACTTATGTCATTATCGTTACATAACTATCTAAAACGTGAGTTTACCACATCTTGTTAACGTAACTCAGGGATCACACATCAATTTAAATCCAATGCACATTTAAGACCTCTAACTATTGTCTTGTTGCGTCGAGACTGTCTTGTTGCGTCGAGACAAAAGAGCAGGGGCATGTGAACACCTACCTAGCTCATACCGAGGTTCGCCCCTGTCAAAATCTACCATATAGGGTCATTCTTCAAAAAAATATCCGTTCAAAAAGTTATTCTCCTAAATAATACCCAACTGATTTACGTTGGTTAACACCGAACATACACACGGAGAACACAGGATTTTAATTTCACTCACTGCTAAATAAAGTTCAAAACTTCATACAACAAAAACTAATGTGGATGCCTGCTTGAATCATATGTTCTTAGAAGCTCCACATCCACAACAAATAGCGAAAGTTTTCTTATTTATATTTTTGTGATTGGCTAGGCTAGCGAAACGCATACCCCTCCCACACACACACAACAAACGAGGCTTCAACCATAAAGTTCGAGATCAAGCGTTACTTTCAGAATCGAGCTGCTAGTATATGTGTTATGTCTCTTTTAGAAGTAAAGGCTCAACAAGTGCCCTCTGCAACATTGACGACGTAGAATCATCCTCAATCGGCTTCTTTCCACTTTGCCCTTGCTTATTTTGGCCTCCCTGCTGTGTTTAACAACAAGAATATAATCACCAACTCAAAACATCGAGTAAATTAAACAAAATGAAAATAAGAATGCCTGCAAAGCAAAAGACAAGTGTTGAGAAAAAAAAAGCAAAATGAGCCACGATGTGTTTTCCTGGTAACGATGAGTGTCCTGACCGGTTTGTGTTCATTTTTAATATTTAATCGTTTTGCAGAACATGGAAAAGGAAATGAGAGAAGGGTGACATGATCCAACAGGTCAACCCAAATCATTTTAGATGTGTTCATTTGACCCATAATTCATTTGCCACCAACACTAACATGTAATAAACCAAACCATACAAACACAGTATATCTCACTCGATATATGCTTATGCCTATACATATACATATCAAGGTGGGAAAATTGAATTTACAGTTTCACGTTTTACTTCCAAACATCATTACCACTAACCCAAAGTTTGACCACGATATGGCATCATTAAATTCTTGATATGAAGTTGTGCTAAAATTCAAAATGTCATAAATGTGTGATTTTGTCACTAGGATTGGTTTTTATTCAGGATCGGGGTTGTATATCTCATTTGCCTAGGTTTTTACATCAATGGTTGCTATGCTTTACTCTGTTACTGGTTTTTAACGAATAATTTTGCATACCACTCAAAACATCAGAGAAACAAAAGCTCCAGCTGAACCTCTAGTCATAACACATTTCATAACTGGTGATGCGGAAAAATGTTGAAATTGTCATTAATATTTTAGCATGACAAAATAGTATGTGAACAAAATCATAATAATGCACAATTGAATGAAGTCGTGTCTAAAAAAGGATAAGTAAGCAGAGAAGATAACTACTTACAGCGATAGTTGATCTCCGAAAAGAGGGAGTACGGGCTATGTATGAAGCAGCTGCAGCTGCTGCTACACGTATCCTGTGGAAGGCAAACATTGGTTGGTTTTGTCTTGCCATCAATATGCATCAAAATCCTAGAATTTTAATGTACCTTTTGTGAACATCAACAAATTCATCAGTCTCATCTACAATCTCCTCCTGCATTGATAGACCAATTTTATCATATTAAGTCCTCTTTTCCAAAAGACCTCACCCATGTACACAAAAGTTAGGCTTGGTCACCAAAAGACCATCATACATTTATAAATTTGTTTTTGGGAAGTTAGACTCAAATCCTCAATTGAAAAAACCGAAGTAAAGATATTGGGGTAATGGATAATGGTATGTTTGAATAAATATTTCCATGGGGTTCTGTCCCCTTTATCAAAAAGAAGTTATGAGAGAACCAAGAAAACCTGAAGAAGTTCTTCAAATACATCTTCCAAGGTGATTATACCAATCACTTCACCTTCTTCAATGTCCTCTGTTGAGTAAGGCACTCCGTTTGGTGCAGTATCACCCAGCTTTGAGAATGTTTGTGTGGTCGTTCTTGCAGCCTTTTCCACATCAATAACAATATTTTCTGCTTTTTCACCCTGCTTTGATGGCGATCGAGTTGTAGATTGAAAATATTTACCAATGACTGTTCCTTGATTCGGTTCTTCGTCAAGTGTAGGAGGTTTTCTGCCTTTCCCTTTAGTTTTGACTACAGCTGCCATATGACTGCCTCCCTTTTGAAACTCATTCAGTATGTCATATAGAGGCATGTCAGCTGGAACCCTGGCAAAAAATATTGTAAATGAATCATAAAACTATATACAATTCATATTGCCTCCCTATTTTGCGGATCAAAGAGTGATAATTTGAAGAGAAGAAGAACAAGAAAACAGAAGTAACCTTGGAATTCTCCTGATGGACACTGCACTTACTGGAGTCTCTGTTTCTGCTCGTACAGTAAGAAGACTTTTCACCTACAATTCAGCAAGAACAGAATTAGGAGACGTCATTGTTCACAGATAAATACCATATAGAAGTAACTGAAAACTTTTGTGACAGCCTACCAACAGAAGTCCAATGACATTTCTTGGGTTTCCTGAGTATACAGGGACTCTACTATGACCTCTTGCAAGGATCTCTCCCATTGCTTCCCTGACATATTACAAGCAGAAGAGGAATGCATAGAGTTACAATTTCTCACCAAGATTTTGTGAAGCATTAGCAATAAAAATAGCAGCCTTTCGTACCATCGTAACTGCTTGGGAGGAGCAGTTAAAATGGCAACCATCAGAAATTAGAGTGTCATGACAGAGTTGTACAATGACTCAAGATTATGACTCACATCCATCCATGATCCTGTATCTAAGATCTGCTCTTTATGGAATATTGAATTGGTTAGAACTCTGTAAAGTTTGGCCAACTCTAAAACAAACCAAACCAACCCGGTATGTTCCACGAAAGTAAAGGCCAGGACTGTTTCCATAAAAACCTTCTTATGCAAAAGTTTGACATGCTCTAGTTTCATCATTCTAAGAACTCTTAACCAGAATTTCAAAAATTGCAGCAACACAAACTAAAACACAACCCAAAAAGATCAAGAAATATGTCATTCTTTTGAGGAGTTATTAGCATAACAAAAGGTCTTGTCGGAGAAGTAGAAAATTTGATTGAGGAAGGGGTGCCAGGACAAAGATGTGATGGTGACGGGGAATTGTAGGGGCACGGGTGGTGGTATCGGCATATGGATGAGTTGAGGTGCAAAGTGTTAGGAAATCTGGAGTTGAGGCCCAAAAGTCGATAATCGCTCAAAATGTCGAGAAGCCCACAATCTGCAAAATGTACACCAGGAGAGAGAAAGTGGCAGGTTGTTGGTGAGGGGGATAAAGTTAGTCCGGGGGAGGGAATTGGAGGTCATTCAGTTACTTTGTCAATTCTGTTTTAGGAGAGAATTCTCTGGAAAGGAGTCCTCGACTCTGGTTATTTTCTCGGTTATTGTAGAGTTCATCTCCTTTTCCCTTCAATTTATCCAATTATCTCTTTCAATTTCACTGGTTCTAACATAGAACCACTCAAACATAGAATTCTTTTAAAACATGAAGACCTCAGAGAGAATTAGAGCTCCAACTTTTGAATGTGCCCTTCAAATCCAGTAAAAAAACACCAAACTATTCCCTCTACGCAAAAACCTGCAGCATTTTTCGTTTTCCAGACGTTCGCTATAATTTTTTTTACTTCACTAGTCTAATGACCTATACGATCTGTAGCAATCGTTATAAAAGTAGATTGATACAACAATGCATATGTAGAGCTCGGGGTATATGACACTGCCTCTGATGGAAAACACAAATTGATTATCAAATTAAGAAGGATAATGGAGGAAAGTGGATATCTATGATTGAAATTGAAATTGGAAAGAAATACAATAACGGAAACGAACCAGGGAATCCTCCCTCTCTCTGTGCACTAAAGCGAGAGCCAATAGAAAAACTTGGAAAACATTCTCTAATCCAAAATACGCTTTACCTCCTCCCTATTTAAAGGTACACTCTCTCCTCTAATCAACTATTAGCCACTTTCCTTTTATGCCTTTTTGGGTCTTCTAGAATATACTTTAAGAATACTTGGTTTATTCTTATTATGGTCCAGTCCAACCGTCATGGGTGCAAAACAATGCTATCCAGCTGTATCCGCCACGATTGATCCTTCTTTTTGATCAAAATGACTGGGCTGGAAAATACGCTCTTACTTGGTCGAATCATACCAAGATTCAAAAGTTCCTCAACTTGCTTCTCAGTTTCAGCCTTTTGGATGTGGGGATATCTATACGGTCGAACACAAATTGGTTCATGAGACTTGATTAAGGAAATTCTGTGATCGTGAGCACGCCGTGGAGGTAATCTTGTTGGATCCCGAAATACATCTAAAAAACGATCAAATAAGGATTGTAAATCCTGTTGTTGTGCTAAAGATAACTCCTCCTGTTCGTTTTGACCCGACGAAACACTAATCGGAAGACGGGTCTGAGAAGGATTGTCTAGTGACAACCACAATTGAAGAGAAGCTTGGGAAACTTGAACTTTAGATAAACCTTGGATGCCCACTGACTTCCCTTGAAATACAAATTTCATGGAAGATTGTTCTCAGTTATGGATCACTTCTCCCAAGGTCTTAAGCCATTCCATGCCTAAAACCATGTCCAAATATCCCATTTCAAAAACCAGTGCCTCCACCTCGAAGTCACATGTCCCCACTTGTACTTTAAGGCGCGTACAACGTTGGTTAATAAAGATTTTATTGCCATCACCTAGCTGGATGTTGATGCCGTTGAAAAATTCGGAAGATAACCCTAGCGCGGTCACCAATTTCCGAAAGATAAAATTATGCGAGGCTCCACTGTCCACCAAAATCACCACCGGAATACCTGCTATTGCCCCCTCAAACTTTAAGGTTTTGCCACCAGAGGACGAGTCAACAGTAGCTCCCAAGAATTTCAAGGCCATACATAATCCAATTGGAGGAATTTCCTTCTCTTTAGTGACTGGTTCCTCTATTGTTTCGACGACTGAAGCTCACCGTCCCCATCTGCAGATTCATCGTCGCCCAAGAGAAGAATCGGTAATTTCCCTTCAGAGCATTTGTGAGCTGACCGAATTGCTACCCACAACGGAAACACAGCCCTTTCTTACGACGCTCCTCCCATTCTGTATGAGTTAGAGACCGAATACCCCGATTGCGATTGATCAATTGGCCATAGTCTGTTGACTGAATCCCGACAGTACGTGGATTCGGAGGCATACGACCTGCATCATTACGTGTAGTTGGGCTCTTCTCACTGGAAAGAGAACTATTGGGCCCTTTGTTCTCATATCGGCCCAAAAGATTGGATTTGAAATCCCCTTCGAAAGAGAAGCCCAACCCACCTCCTGCCTGATATCGAAATCGAGACGGGGATTCCAGGAAGAAGAACGAAGCATCTCTTCGATATCTTTAGCGAGATACATGGCATCGAGACGAGACTGAGGTCAATGGAGACGTACCCATCGTTTCACGTCATCTCTTAAACCTACAATAAAGTACCCGAGTGTCTGTGTCTCGGGTAATCGAGGTATCAAGGACAACAGATATTCAAAATTGTCTATATAATCGTGAATAGAAGCTACCTGTTTCATCGTCGCCAATTGTTCGAAAGGATTATGAATCTCTAATCCCAAAAATCGTTGGAAAAGCTCGGCGGACAATTGTTCCCACGTAAGGGTATCGTAAATCTGTTTCACAATCGTGAACCAATGTTGAGCCACCCCTACCACACTTAATTGAGCAAGACGAATTCGAAGGTGAGCTGGTGTACCATGAATGTCAAAGTATAATTCAGCTTTCTGAATCCATCTTTGAGGATCGAACCCATAGAATTCAGGCAATTTTACTTTCTTTGCTGCCGATGGTAACATATCGGAAGAACCCAATCGTGGACCAGAACTGAGTGAGGTGTCTCCTTGCAGCGGTGGTGACATCCCTTGAGGATTATGTGGAATTGGGGATCCATTGGAGGCCCCACACGGTCCTCCACTTTCGAGGTCGGGTTGAACACCCTGTTGTTTCACCCACACCATAAGCATCTTACGAAATTCAGCTTCCTCCGCTCGCTCTGATTCCCACGCTTGCATCCCCACTTTGATTTCTTGAATATCCGATTGCAACCTCTGAATTTGTTCTTCATGTTGCTCCAAACGGTTCAGTTGAGATCGAGTTTCCATGGATTCCACACAGCAGGTCAAGATAGGTCGGACCAATGATGGAAAACACAAATTGATTATCAAATTAAGAAGGATAATGGAGGAAAGTGGATATCTATGATTGAAACTGAAATTGGAAAGAAATACAATAACAGGAAATGAACCAGGGAATCCTCCCTCTCTCTGCGCACTAAAGTGAGAGCCAATAGAAAAACTTGGAAAAATTCTCTAATCCAAAATACGCTTTACCTCCTCCCTATTTAGAGGCAGACACTCTCTCCTCTAACCAACTATTAGCCACTTTCCTTTTCTGCCTTTTTGGGCCTTCTAGAATATACTTTAAGAATACTTGGTTTATTATGGTCCAATCCAACCAAATCCGTAACAGCCTCCTTTTTAACTTTTGTTTTATCTAGAAGTCCAAGTTCAAGGTGCCACAACAACAGCTTTTAGGAGTAATAGAAATGCATTGACCAGTTTAGGAATAAGGTGCTGATTGGCTCTGATCAAAGTCCATCTACTCGCTTATTTGAAGTACAGATCTCCATTAAGGATTTAGAAAGATGTAAAGAAAAATTGTAATGTCCTTTTACGGGTAAGCTTATTAATTGTCAAAAGAAGACCAAATGATATGATGCAAATATGACTATGTACAATAATCAAACTCACCAATCTAACTTTGAATTGGCATCCAAGGAAAATGTTGACTCAATTGGTGTCATAGCCTCCTCTGCAGTCTGATCAGATAAAACAATGATGATTATTTTAAGAAATTTCCCACCATTGACAACAAAGTAATAATCTATATCATGAAGATAAGATAATTGCAGGGAAAATCACAGAGCCATAGAGTTGATCATGTATGAAAAATCACTTATAAATAGGTGTGTAGCATTGAACAATAATCATCTATCTTACTAAAGGTTGAAAACAACTTCTTTTACTTCTAATCCTCTTCTTCCACGTAACTTTTGACTGCCCATCAGTATGACACATTAACCCTATTGAGCTCATTGCTTCAAAACCCTAAGGGTCCGTTTGGTTTGCAAGATTGTTTTCCAGGGATTTGAATTTCATGGAGGGAATTGAATTGGAATGGATTTGAAATCATTGGTGTGTTTGGTTTGTAGAATTTGGAATGGAATTGGATTCCATTATTTATAAATACTTTATAAAAAATCATAAAAATAATTAAGTTACATTTTTATTAATTGTCATTACAAAACAAATGTTTTTAACATTTTTTAAAACCTTATTGCATATAATCCGGTGAAATCCCGAGCACCCCTAAGGATTTCAAAATCCTATGTTTGTAGGATTTCAATTAAATCCTAGAATTCAAATCCAAACAATCCAACAAACCAAACATGGGATTGGAATGGTCCGAATGGATTTGAAATCCAAATCCCCACAAATTCATTCCATTCCTACAAACCAAACGGGATCTAAGAGATGAGGATTTGCATTCTTTTAACAACTGAAACCACCAATTCATAAAAGATAAACAACAACTTTCATTTGGAGAAAGTACATATGCACCTTCATTTCCGGGGTGAGGAAGAGGGGAAGGCCAAGGAGACATAGGATGAGCAATTGAGGTTGGACATGATAGCCTTAGATACTTCCAAGGACATAACTTGTGATAGAAGTGCTTGAAGGGGCAGAGGGCTGGAAGTTTAGTACAGGAATGTGTTTTCTTTTACTTGTTCCGTGTGGGTATCGCCTTTTCTTACCTTTTACATGTGTCCATTGTACCTATTATTTACTTTTTCTTACTTACTTTTCTCATGCTCTGTTCACCATACGCTAATTTTTTTTGTTAACCTGGATATCCAACCCGCAATGCGAGCCAACTAATCCCAGGGCGACCACCTGCTTTGCAGATAGCCCGGAGTCACCGCATTTGAACCTCCATGGCCACAAGGGGATTTTTATTCCTCCTTGGATTTGAACCTGGGACCTACAAGTACTTTTAACCTTTGGAGTCAAGCTCAAACCAATCAGGCACCACCCTTGTGGTTAATCTTTATTAATGCTACCAAGTTGCTCACACTTGATGTAATTAGATTATGTAATGTAAGCATACAAACTTGTGTCATGTTAAACCACATAACTAAGAATTCTTAAAGTATTTGCATGGACGGATCCAACATGGTGCCACACGTGCCACCGTATTATTCCTCCGTCGAAGGATAAAAAAAATTAGGTTTGTTGAAGGTGCAACCGTATGTATTTTGAAACTACAACGAGAACAAGTTTTCTTTGGTAGAGTTGGTTTGCAAGGCTTTTGTTCCACCCTAGACCCGAGTTTGAATCCTGTTAGTGTCATTTTCTTAGTCAAATGGTGCCACCTTTTGAATTATTTTCCCTATATCTGTTTCTTATAGACAAACGGTGCCACCATTTCAAATTTTTTTCCCTATACTTATTTCTTATAGTCAAATGGTGCCGCCATTGGAAATCATTTTTGGGTCCGTCTGTAAGATCCCACATTGGTTGGAGAGAAGAACAAAGGTTGCGTTATAAAGGGGCTTGATACCTCCTCTATTAGACACGTTTTAAAACCATGAGTCCAGGTGTGCAGACAAAGCGGACAATATCTGATAGGTTGGCCTGAGATGTTACAGATGGTATCGGAGCTGGGAACTAGACTAGTATGCCAGCGAGGGACTTGGCTCCCAAGGGGGGTAGATTGTAAGATCCCACATTGGTTGGGGAGAAGAACAAAGGTTGCCTTATAAAAGGTCATGATACTTCCTCTATCAGACGTGTTTTAAAACCGTTAGTCCAAGTGTGTGGACAAAGCGAACAATATCTGGTAGGCCTGGGATGTTACACCGTCCCTGAGTGTTGGGTGGTATACCGGAATTTGGTAGAACATCCTCAACCAAGTCAAGAACACAAATAACTTGTTGCTTGCAAAACAACAATCTTATAGTTGGTATATAACCAATTGCACAATGTTGCCCATAAAGGTTGATTAAGCAACAACAATGGAAAACAAAATTATTAACAAGGAAGCATCTAATAAATGAAGCAAAATGTAAGTATATACTCCCAATATATTGCAAGTTTACAGTTAATACCTTTGCAGTTAAATCTAATGCTCCACTAATAATTGTTGTCTCGTCGTGAGTGAGTTCACCTCCTTTACCGGCCTGGTAATGATTGAGGATGTCATTAATTGCAGAAAATACGACAAATGGATGTCAGTCTAGAGTTCGTTACTATGTATAAAAGAAAGAATATAAATGCAACATGCTTATATCACATAAGAAATTAACCTCCTGACCGTGGATGGAAACAAGGACCTTCAACTGAGCTCGCCTAAATAAAGCATCATTATGTCCTAACACCAAATCAAGCATCTGGAATCACAAAATTATGTGTACATAAGCTGCAATATTTGGCCAATTCTTTGTAGTATAAAACTAGAATGTATTTACCTCTTTGTAAACAAAATACTACTAAATAGAATGACATATTCATGATGAACTAGAAGGAAAAGTAATATTTCTATGGAAGCTATGACTTTATTTGTTCAAATTACAAAGATAAAGCATCTGGAATCACAAAATTATGTATACATAAGTTGCAATATAAGGCCAATTCTTTGTAGTATAAAACTAGAATGTATTTTCCTCTTTGTAAACAAAATACGACTAAATAGAATGACATACTCATGATGAACTAGAAGGAAAAGTAATATTTCAATGGAAGCTATGACTTTATTTGTTCAAATTACAAGGATATGTTACAATAGGATAGATGAGACAAAGGCTTTAGTTTGACTTTATTTCGTCTTTATGAAAATAGTACAATCTCGGTCAAAGTAGCCTCCTTACTATAGCATAGTGGCGGTGCATGTTTTTATCTTGGTAAATGCCTCCAGCTAAACCATCCAAGATTAACTAAGAAGATATTTTTTACCAGGTAGTTTACAAATTTGGTGCTCCTAGAAAATCATATCCCGGTACTTTCAAATTAAGAAACAAGTACTCCTTTAAAACATATACAATCAATGAAAAATGCAGGTGACTCAGGAAAGCACTATTTTGTATTATTTGTATTGTCCATTGCAAGGTTAAATAAATCATTTGATCACTCAGGTACTAGAATCTAACTAAACTTCTGATGCTTTCACAAGTTTTATTTAAAAATGAACTAAAAAGAACGCATTATCAAATGGAATATCCCATAATTTTATTTATCTATCTGAAGATAACTTCTTGATTCTGAACCTTAGTTTTAAGCAATCACTAGAAAAAGTGCCACAAAGCATCATTCTTCTGCCCCGTTCACCCTTTCTTCTCCCTCAACAGAATTTACCTTGCCAATAGGATAAGCAATCGGATAGCAAACTATCATCAGTATACGCACAAGCCAAATAAAACTAGAACCTATAGCGAGTCCATATCTGGTAGATAATGCTTGTGGGATCACCTACAAGGCAAAAACAATTGTTACAAAGAGTGATACATATGCATGAAGTAATAAAGAAAAAAAGAAATCTCATATTTCCAACCTACCTCTCCGAAAAACAGGACAAAAGTTACAGAAAGCACAATTGCGACAACTTGATTGAAAATCTTGTCCAAGTATAATGGCAGGGCCTGCAGATTTGCAAGAGCATAAACCATGTATACGAAAAAATTTATATTTATATACAAAAAAAATATGGTGAAAATATAATAAATGTTAATAACAAAGTTAGAGAAAAAAGATCTGCATCCTCTCACATACAGTGATATATCTATTGTCATTTAAATGTATCATGCATGATCAGTCAACCACTATAGTGACTGTATGTCCAAAAAGGAACGAGATGATGAATTGAATTTCTTAGTTGTTTAAAAACTTAATGTGTGTAGTTCTATGAAATGATTGATGAATGTTAATGTACCAATGAGCTTATAGAAAACCTATCAAGAAAATAAAGAAATAAGAATAGACCTCAAAGAACAATGATTATAGTTGCAATCCATGATCTATAGTTATGACTTTGTATATGTTCTTCTAGGCATCTCCTATTCAATAGGTTTTAGATCACATAAGCATTGTGTATGCCTTGCAACCGAAACCAAATATCAACATTGTTGATAAGCATTCTTCCATTTTTCTTCTTATCTTACCCAATACCTTCTAATTATCTCTGGCAAGCACAAACATAAGGGTGAACTTATCTATCCTGCCTTACACTACCCCAAGCTAGAATAAAGGAGGAAGGTGCATTACTCTTTGCAAGTTGCCAACCTGGCATTCAAAAAATAAAAGAAAAAGAAGCTATTCGTTTGAAAATTATCCTACATTTTTTAAGAAAAAGGGCTAAACTAAAGTTGCACAGACCATCTATAAAAGCTATAAATTCCAATACTTTACCTCCATGGAAGCTGCATTGCATAGCAGCAATGTTACAAGAAGTTGATGTTGTTTCTGAACCACAGGAAATATGACAGCTGAAGACAATGATATTGCATAAAACCAACTACCCAAGATATAAAATCAATTAATACAATTGCTCTGTAAGGAAAGAAACAGGTCCTACTTTTTTGGGGATATTTCCAAAAGCATCGTGTTGGTGTCAATAATGTATATAACTGATACAAATATATAATAAATCCAACATGACTGAACATTGATGCATCACATCTAATTGAGGTCATGCTGTCTCTATCTTCCAACTTCATAATGAATAATATTGTTTTGATTTCCAAAGTATTTCAACACTAATTCTTCTACCAAAACATGGTTAGAACTTCTGATAAAGAGTCTTGAACACAAAAGGTACAGAACCGTGCATTTGTGAGCTATCATGCCTTAGAGTTAGCATGATCAAATACTTGTGTTCACTGTTATACTTGTTTAACAAAATAAAAAAGGCACCCTTTGTTCATGATGAGCCCCCATTTCTCGTCCACAGAAATTAAGATAAACACTATATTGCCATCTACCACAAGAAGTTGACAGAATAAGATGAGAGCATCATAACCTTTAAGGATTTGGTGAAGTTTTAGATAGAGTTAACCACTTAATGGTCAGTTCAGCAAATGATTGGACTTGTTTGTTTAACAAAATGATGTTTATTGCCGTTTTCAATCAAACAGAATTAGAAAAGAAATATTCTCAGCCATTTAGCTTATCGAAGTAGGAAATGAATTATCATATTTAAATTAGGATCAATCTTTGATCTTTGAGGTCAAGACAACTTTTTTCGTATCAAAGATAAATTGTTTAATAGGATAGGATACCCAAAGACGTATGTGTCAGGTGCATAAGGTCTGGATCCAGAATCATCAGCCTAATCGCTCCAAATCAGTGTTATGTCCAAATAGGGTAAATAAGAGAGCCTATTGAACACAGACTTGAACTGGCCAAATGAACAACAAACCCACAACTCTAACAACCTAAGTGTAAAAACAGCAATGAACCATAACATGCAATGTGATCCTTGACGAACCCCCATCAGGTGTTTTTGGGTTTTATAAATAAAGCTTTAACCAAGCTTTATTTATAAATAGAAGGTGTGCATATTTGCAGATTGAGTAGGAGGTGCACTACTCACCAGCCCCTAGGAGGGATGATTTACCTCCCCATGATGGTCGAGGAAATGGTATCGCTGTACCCTTTTTGAAGAACAAAACTGAAATCAACAGGAAAATAGGAGGGTACACACAGATAGTGAAGGACTCTCAACCATTATCTTCACTTAAACTCTCTCTTAGCCAAGGTTTTATCATTTCCAAGTTGTGCTAACACTCATGCCAAAGGTGGTTCAGAGCACCCAATGAAGCTTCGAATTGTAGTGTTTATGATGGACTAAGGATTCAAAGCTATGAGTTAATATAATAACCATATCTTGTTCAACATAAACCAACTCTTCCTGCTCCCATTCACCAAGTGCAGAAGTCATATTGGATCAAAGACAGCCTGATGAGTGACATTCATTTCAAAATACCCATAAAAGACTTTGTGTGCTTGCAGGGAAAATCAATGACATCAAATTCAATCATAGAAGCTCAGATCCAAAAATCAGACTTCTTTGAAAAGCCAAATACCGTAATCCTATTAGTCAACAAAAACGATTTTACAATTCCTTTTCCCTAGAAATAGAACAATATCTAATGTAAGCCATCTAGAAATTAATCCTAACCATTCTTTCGTAATATTATATATGTATTCATTAACAGATTGGGTTCCTAAATTGAGTTGTAAATGTCAGAAAAGCATCATGAATTGGAAGAAGGATACAATAAAATACATAATAAGCGTCGATTAGGTTGCGTATATCAAGAATTAAGTGTGTATTAGAAAAAATTGGAGACCTGCTTGTCTTTTCTCGGTCGGAGTGCCACTGCTCTGGAGGATTTCGAGCTCGACGAGGCCAAGAGACATCAATCCTAAGGTAAGGCCAGACATGATACCAGCAAAGGTTACTAGGAGGCATGAGATTCCAACGTAAAGGTAAAACTTCGCCGATCCAAATTCAATCTCTGCTCCAAGCATGGAATTACTACTGCTACTCATCACCGTTCGTATAATCTGCAGTGCATTTATCGTATGCATCCTGTAGAGATTGAATCTGCAACCAGAAGTCGTTCAGTCTCTCAATGATTTCCTTATCAATAGTCAATGGTGTACTAACTAGTTTGAATGAAGGTACCTGTGCAAGAAACAATGGCGACTTGCAGTTAATTCTAGGGAAATATCTTAACGAAACAATATTCAATCAAGAATCGGAACCGATTTCATATGGGAGTAAATTACAATTTTGGTCCCTGTAGTATGTTTAAAACCATGAATCTCGTCCCTCGAATATAGAAACCATAAGAGAATTACGGATTTGGCCTCTTGGTTTACACTTTCTACCTATAATCGTCCCAAATTCATGATAAATATAGATATGATACTTCTTGTTGACATTTTCACACTCATTGACTCTTCCTTCTAACAAAATCAAAAAAAATTCGTTAACTCAATTACATTTAGGGGCATTTTGGTCTTTCAATCTCTTTTTAATCTTTATCCTATTAAAATTTTAAAATAATTATTAATTTATATTATATAATACTAGAAGGGTGTCTCGTGCGATGCATCGAGACACATTTCCATTTCAATGTTCCATTTTATTTTTTTATCCATGTCGATATAATACGATTTTATGTGGTTTTGAGAAAGCGATAATTTTTTATTTTTGAATAAAATATAAATTTGAAAATATCATATAAAATTTGCAAAAAAATATATCAATATTAGTACAAATTAACTATTTAAAAGTTCTTATTTGTATATTTTTTTTAATTCAAATTTTTTTATTATAATTTAATTACTTCGTTAGGTTTAATAATATATATTTTTTATAAAGATAATAATTAAGTATTCTGTTAGAACTCGATAATTATTCTAATTATATTTTTATTTTTTTATATTTTAAAATAAGATGTTTATTCTCTATTTGATTATGTTTATCTGCAGTTAGTTATACTATTTCAAACATAGAGTTTTAATAAGTTGTACTTATACACAATATACTTGTAATCTTGAATTTTAAGTAATATGCATCAATAAATATTATTTTTTGTATAAAAAATAATTTTTAAAAATTTTTGTCAAATGGTTTATAATATAATATAGATTTCATCCCTATGATTATTCAAAATTTTGGATTACAGATTTCATCCCTATGGTTTATAATATAACAAAGAGTAAATTACAGATTTCATCCCTATGATTATTCAAAATTTTGGATTGAATCCCTAAAATGAAATAATTACATGTATAGTCGACATGGTTTCACTAACCAATAATCGTGTTACGTTAGGGGTAATGTCATCTTCTTACAAATTTATTTTTCCTTTTTTGAAAATTATATTTATTATGTTTAATAATAAAAACATATTCATGATCCTGTCATCAAACCCTCCCCACCTTAATCCGGCGTCGGTGACCCAGTTTTCCGGCAGCATCTGCCACCGTCGGTTTCCCCGCTTTGGCCACATGTTCCAGACAAACATCATCCTCCCCCTCCTTCCCGCTGTTAATAACATCTAAAAAACTCAACTAGGCTAATAAACACAAAATCTTTACCGTCTATGGTGGTTAAAATTTCATTATTACTGTGAATATTTTCATCCTCTACGAGTGAAATCAAAGAAGTGGAATAAATAATAGCCTTCGATGGTACCTAATTTGGAGAAGTTGGTAGTGAAATTGGATGCAAGAATGGGTTGTACACAGAGAGTTTATCATAGTCAAGATTATTATTAGACAAAACTGATTGGGGAACAACGACGGCAACCAGAATCTTCTATACATTGATCGGAACAACTAGTGGAAGATGATGATGAGACATCGAAAGACCTTCATATTCTAAAGCAAAAGAGTAAGGCACACTTTCATCGTTGATAACCACGGCGGGACCTTCTACGACCATTGTTTCTCGTCAAACGGAAAGCCAAGTCCCTAATAATAAGTTATATCACCAACACACGTGAATTCAAACCCCTCTCTTAAACGAGAACTTTGGTGAAAGAGTACGAGTGAAATTTTGTGTTGGAGTGGCATCTTTCTTGTTTGAGTTGATGTAAATATGTAATCCACGTCTCTTTCTATTACCTTTTGTAAAGCATGGTGTCCACATCTCGGGTCGTTTACTTAAATGTTTACCTAGTAAGTACTTATCGGTAGGAGTCATCACTATAATTTATTTTGCTGGGTAAGATTATAGTGCATCAAAAAGATATAGTATGCAATAATAATCCAGTAAGCACTTACCCGAGTAAGAGTCGTCACTCTCACTTACCGGGTAAAACTCTCTATTCTTTTACCACTCTTACCGGATAAGCCTCACCATCCTTTTACCACTCTAACCGGGTAAGATTATAAACTCTTACCATATTCATCCGGTAAAGAAAATTACCTGATAAGCACTTATGAATAAATAAACGGCCCCTTATTCTTGTTGGTAGAGATCAGCTAGGGAGGTCGTACAAACTTGAATGAGGGAATTGAGGGCAGATGAAGTTTTGTGTACTTTTATTGTGCAAAAAGCAAGAGCATTGGTACTTTGTACGGTACTGTTGAAAAAATTATAAAAATAATAAGAAAATTAACATCAAATAAAGATTTAATCTTTATATAATTTAATTATTTTATAGCAATAAAAAGGTTAAACCTTTTTGAATTCCGACCCAACAAAAACCTCAATAGATGCCAATTCACACAAATTGAAACTATCATTCTCAATAGATTCAATGAAAGAAAGGGGTAGAAGCAGAGTGTTCACTTAGTGAACGGAAATTTAAATACAATGCAAAAATAGTAAAACCAACCTGGTAAATAGTCTTTCGATTTGAATGAGAAACTGCACGAAAAACCTGTCCTTAAAGGTTTTATACGACCACTCTTTAGAAGCTGTGAGTCTGCTAGTCGCAAAGCCCCAGGATTTGATGCAGTAGATTGTTCGTTTGTGAACAACTATCACAAAGAATATAGAGCAGGTTTTGTAGCAAAACCGGTAGAGAGAAATAGGAGACGGGAGCAGAATTTCGTCAGAGGAAGAATAGTTTTCAGTGTCAAAATGGATACAGCTTCACCCAATATTTATACTGGGTGAAACCCTAGTTCTGGCCCACGAGAATGGCCCACGAAGAGGAGATAGGGTGAGAAAAATTCTCAACCTAAAACCTATCTCTAAACCAAGTCAAAAACCCTTTTAATTTAAATTAAAATGATAAAATCGGAATTAATTAATTAAAAATAATAATTATCTCAAAATATTAAAATTAATAATTATCTCAAAACCGATTTATTTCAAATTAAAATTAAAATCGGATTAATGATAATCCTCCTGACGAAATCTCTAGTAAAAACGTGTGTGTTGGGCCATCCACTCAAGACCCCCACCATGAGTCCACTAACATGTTCACAGCCCACTACTAGAGAAAGCCTTATAAGCTTCTCTAGAAATAAACTCTCTACCAATATGGGATGGAAGGTTAACTTCCAACCTACAAATTTCCAACAATCCCCCACCAAGTTGGAAAGTTTCCTGACATTTATGGTAGACAACGTTACAGTGGTGTCACTAAGATTAAACCATGTTTAATGTAAGTATGCAAGAAGGGATCAATCCAATGATATCCTTAGGATTTAAACCTTGAATCTTGTGACCACTTCGGCTTACCTACACACGTCATTTATCCACCTTGCTCTCTCACTGAGCGCTAATATGGCCATGCGCTAAACCCTGTTTCATGACTTACTGAAAGAGAAACCACTACTCTTCTTTTGAGGCGGCACCACCTCTAAGTCATATAGGCAAAGTTCTATAACATCTTCGTTGTTAAGATGCCTCTAAACTTTGTTAAGAGATTAACTCATCCTTGTTCTCGACAACGCCGTACTATATTTCACCTTACATGGATCTATCGTTTGATACCTTTTATCAGTCAAGTGACTTGTTGTTACCCTTTAAACTTGGTAAATAGGAGTACTATATCCAAGTTGGGTTTCCATCACTGACTGATTCTATGTGGTTTCAGACCCATGTCTCTGGTGGTTGATCCTACCAAGTCTCTCGTCAGAGGNACTATATCCAAGTTGGGTTTCCATCACTGACTGATTCTATGTGGTTTCAGACCCATGTCTCTGGTGGTTGATCCTACCAAGTCTCTCGTCAGAGGCTTGGTTAGTGGATCTACCAAGTTTCCACAAGACTTGACAAACACTATACTTATGGTACCATCATCAATTAGTTGTCTCACGTAGTTGTGTCGGAGACTTATGTGTCGCGACTTCCCGTTATATACAGCATTGTATACTTTGGACAGTGTGGCCTCACTGTCACAATACATATAATAGAGGGAGTCGGTCGAGGCCATAAATGGATATCTGTCAACAAATCTCTAATCCATTCGGCCTCTTTGCCCGCTGCCGCTAGGGCAATAAATTCGGCTTCCATAGTCGAATGAGCGATACACATTTGTTTCTTGCTCGCCCAAGAAATCGCCCCTCCAGCAAGAGTATAAATCCATCCACTTGTGGATTTAGAATCACTTGAGTGATCTATCCAACTGGCGTCGGAATATCCCTCCAAGATTCCTGGATGCGTAGAGTATGTCAACTCTAGTTCTTGGGTTCTTTTCAAGTAGCCTAATACTCTACCAATTGCTTTCCAGTGATTTGAACCCGGATTGCTCGTATATTGACTCAGTCTACTCACAGCAAAAGCAATATCCGATCTAGTGTAATGCATTACATACATCATGCATCCTATTGCACTAGCATATTCTAGTTGAGCCACTGCTCTACCAGTATTTTTATTGAGTTTCACACTTGAATCAAACGGAGTATTAAAATCTTTTATATTCAAATGCTGAAACTTTGTCAGTATCTTCTCTATGTAATGAGACTGACATAGAGAGATTTGAGATGCAGATCTTTTGATCTTTATCCCAAGGATGGTATCTACTTCTCCAAGATCTTTCATCTTAAAGTTCGAGAATAAGTATCATTTTGTCTCAAGAATACCATCTAGATTGGTTCCGATGATCAACATATCATCGACATAAAGACATATTACCACAGTGTACCCTCTCGTGCATTTTGAGTAT